CTGGCATTATTTATTCATGTGAGAAGAGTTCACTAAATGTTGCTTGAATAAGTTAAATGCCCTTGTCATCCTGCCAAAGAAAATCAGGAAACAAAAAAGAGTACTCAAGTAATATGATAAAGTTGATGCTACTAAAAAATAGGAATAACAAAGTTCTATCATATTTTATCATGTCTTATTCAAGTTCAGTGTTTTGGTTGTTGTTTTGTTTTGTTTTTAATGGAGGAAGTCGCTATAGTGACTTTCCATGAATTCCTAAATTCTCTTATAATTGGACCTTGGCATCCTCATGTTCTCTCCCCTCATTCAGGACACATAGTGTCCCCATCATGTCCTGACTCACCTTCCACTGTTTGTGGAGCTTTCTGACAGCTTCCTGCAGACCTGGCTGTTCCTGCTCAGGGAGGATGTCGGTGAGTTCATCACAGGCTTTCAGGAAAGCGTTGAGCACCCTCTGATCCAGCTGACTGAAAAACTCCTGACGGGGAGAGGGGGGACGTGGTTATGAGTGTTGCGCAGAATAAAAGGCAGCACCAGACACTATCACACCTCGAAATGGCCTCTCAGCCAGCTGTTGTGCTCTTCAAAACTTCAGGGCAACTGCTGTTTTTATTTTTCAGGAATGAACTATAAGCATCTAGAGTTATGAGTCAGAAGCCATAAAATCTGAAATTCAACTGGTACTTTCTATTTTTTTAGAAAAAATTCTTTGCAGTTTTCAAATTTGGTAGAGTATTTCTAAATATCAGTGGGAGATTCTAAAACCTTGATTCCACAATGATGGAGCTTTGGTTCCTCTTTGGTAAAGTTGGAAAGGAGGGGCAGAGCAGAAGCCAAGACTAAACCTCGTAACTCCTCACTAACTGCAATGCATTCCAAGTCCCGTTGGTTCATTATGAACCCTTCCTACATTCACACATGTGCACACGTGAGCACGTAGTCTACGGAATGAATTGTGGCCGTCCCCACACTCCTATGTTGAAGTCCTACTCCCAATTGTGATGGTATTTGAGATGGGGCCTTTGGGAGATAATTAGGTATAAATGAGGTCACGATAGTGGAGCCCTTAGGATGGGATTATTGTCCTTCTAAGAAGAGACACCAGAAAGCTTGCTAGCTCTCTCTGCCATATGAGGACACAAGGAGAAGGTGGCCGTTTACAAGCCAGAAACAGGGCCCTCGCCAGAACGCTACCACACTGGCACCCTGATCTCAGACTTCTAGCCTCCAGAACTGTGAAAAAATAAATTTCTGTTGCTTAAGCCACCAGTCTATGGCATTTTGTCATGGCAGCCTGAGCAGACTAAGATGACACACGTGTAAATACACACACAACCAAATCTCATGCAGTCTCAGAAGTATGTATACAGAGTTATTTGGAAATAACAGTGATTCAAAACAGAAAGTGCCATACTATAAAGGCATATAAACTAAATGAGATGTTTTCCCTTTTATTGTCACAGACATTGACCCTAAATCTAGATAGCTGTATCACAAATATACTGCATTTATCATTTGAGAGTGTAGTTTATACAAACATCCACTGAAATTTCAGGAAAAATAACTCAAAGTGCATGTTAGAGCACTGGTCATCTCATATGCCCTTTCATAAACAAGTATGAGAATCATGAAGATGGCTTCACAATACAGAGACAAGTCGTGTATCAGATACCAGAGTTCAGGTGACACGGTATCTATACTATGATACGAGAGATTTATCAAATGAGCACAAAAGTCTTAACCATTTATCTAAAGTTATCTATTTAAAAGATTCTTTAGTTACGTAAGAATTTTTGAGCTAAAGAACGAATTAGTAATTTGGAGAACCCAAATTATCCTATGACTCTACTATTCTAGGGGCTTAAGAGTGGCTCAGTTACAAGTCAGTTCGTTAACTGCTCTTGACGTTCTTTTTGTGCACCACGGCCTTGGGTCTCAGACCTAAAAAGTTTCTGCCTTCCTGACTCATCTGCCCCCTCTCCCTCTGTATCAGATCAGAATGCTCTGTCTAGGTTTTCATCCAGGGTCGCTTGTCCCTGTGCTCAGGTCAAGTGCCCCATCAGGCACAGACTCACAGTGTGTCTCTTCAGGAGCTCTTCCGGGTCCCCCTTTTCCTCTAGGCCCTCCTGAGCAATCCGCAGCACCTTCTCTAGCTCTGCTCGGGACTCCTCAAACTTCTTCATCAAGCGACTGTTGGTTTCGACATGCTTCTTCCAGTCTCCAGTTTTCTTTACCATATTCTTGACGTGAAAAATAATCATAATGTGATGCTGCTTTCTCATTGCAGAAAGTATCATTTAGTTAGAGCATTACTGATTAAAAAAAACACACTTGGAAGAAAAACATTCCATCATGATGAGAATAATTAATTCTTTTCAATGTTAATTACAAAGAGAAGTAGAAAAATGATTGGCTTCCAAGCACCAGTAGGTGAGGTGTTTTAGCCAGACTGAAAGCGTAAGTGATGACTACTTGCCCTCATCCTTTGCATTTTCCCCAGTTCACAACTCTACAGAGTGGAGAGTAAATTACCTGAAAAGCAACACGAACATCTGTAATCTGTCTTTGTAGCTTTGTCTCATCAAAATGCTTTAACACTTTGCTTAAGGTCACAAACTTTTGAACGCTTTGACTACCCTTCTCAATTAGTGTCAAGGTTTTCTTACAGCTTTCTTGGCAGGCTAGCAGTTCCTACAAGGAAAAGAAACCCACGACAATATTATTTACATAAGAGAGTGGGAGAGAGAGAAAGAGAGTAACAATTACAAATAATAAGAACAAGATTATATAGCTTTTAGGCTTTCGATCAAGAGTAAGTAAAACCAAAGGTACAGGGGAACATTTCTTTTCAAAAGAGCTCAATTTTAAATAATTGTTGAAGTCAGTGCTTTTTTATACATGGCATTTAAATGTCACAAAGAGTTTTTTGAGGTTTTAAAAATATTTTATGTACATCTTATTAACATTAAGAAAATGACAGAGCATCAAAATTATTTGTCTAATATCTACCTTCCTCCAACCAGCTGATGGGACTATGGTTTATTGAGTGAACCATCATGAAATCAATCTACATATCAGGTTTTCATCTGACTAAATCCATTTAACACCAATGCACATTCACTTTACTGAAAGAGATGCGGCATGGTAACTAGTATTTGTATACCCTAAATTTATAATATTTGAATTCCTAAGCTTCATAACCTATCAGCCTTACTCATGAAATGGTGGACTTTAGATCCTACTCAAAAAAGTCAGCAGATCAATGGGCCTGGGGAAGACGTGCAATGGTCCACAATTGTAGGATGAGACACAATGGTGACTCATAGATCCTTCCACTTCTGATTGGTAGTCTGGCGTCACAGCGATTTCCGTAGTAGACAGCTTGGAAATTATCCAGCCCAGCCCAAGGTGGAGAGTCATTTTATTTTTGTTTTTTGCTTTCAAAATATTAAGGGAGTACAAATGTTTTTGTTACATGGATATCTTGTATAATGCTTAAGTTGGGGCTTTTAGTGTGCCCATCACCAGAATAATGTTCATTGTACCTGAGAGGTTAAGTGTTTACTCCTCACCCCCATCCATCCTCTCCACTTCTTGGTTTCTACAATTCACAATTGAAAAGATGTGGAATCAACCTAAGTGTCCATCAGTTTAAGAATGAATAAGAAAATGTATATATGTATGTATGTATACACATACACACACACATATATAGCATGGAGTACTACTCAGCCATAAAAAGGAATAAAATAATGGCTTTTGCAGTAACTTGGATGGAACTGGAGACCATTATCCTAAGTGAAGTATGTCAGGAACAAACACAGAGAGCTATTTTTTGACTTGAATCCACACCACTTGCATTTCAGTATCCTCAACTGCTTTGAAAAAATATTTCAAATTCCTCATTTGGATACTATTTTTGGTTATCTAGATGCAAATATTAAGAGCAGAATTTTTGTTTTGTTTTGGCAAGACAGAATAAAGACATATTTTTTCCTTTTGAAGACTTAGGAGATAAAAGGGTAACATAATTTTAAAATATATTA